CTTGATCATCGAAAAGAGTTGTATTACATGCCTCTAAATTCCGTTCCATTTTCATATTTATTGAGCCAAAAGTGATTAAAAGAGTTTACACTAATTTTTTTTAATTATTATTTGTGTTTTTATATATATGGAGGATTAGCTTAAAAACCAATTTCGCGAACATTAAACTAAGAATGTATCATTTCCCATTGAGTTGGACCCTTCAATTCATACCATAATAATATTTAATCCCTCTCAAAATTGATCAATTTCATTTTAAAAGGCACAATTTATTACATTTTAAAATTTTGATCTAACATTGTACTCTAAACAAAAAATTTGATAAACTATATAACAAGACATACATATTGAAAGCAATTACTATATAGTTTGAATTCAAAGATGTAACATTAGACTTTTCAAATTCAGATATTTTTTCCCCTATATACAAGTGCCAAAGACTAAAGTCATAATGGTACTAAAAAGGATGCAAAAAATGTTAGTTGAAGATTTAGGTTAGTATCTGCCGACTCTTTATTAGGATTGCAATTTAAAGTTGATATATATATATATATATATATATTTATTTATTGATATGTAGTAAGGACAAAATTAAAGAGAACACAGAAATAGAGGGAAGGTGACTTAGGTGAGTGGACCTGGTAGGCATAATCATGACCATGCATGGAGGGGCCACCATCACCGTTTGATTCACCATTAAATGGAGTCAATCTGTTGACTCTCTGACCAGACCAGTTTCTGACCGTCAGAGTTCTTCATTTAATTGTTCTTGATCTTGAATTTAAGACTACAAGGGAACTGGTACAAGACCAACCACAACAACTGTCTGTTCTTATAGTTGTGTGTTTGTATATCTCTCTCTCTCTCTCTCTCTCTCTCTATATATATATATATACGTATCTCTCTCTACATAATATATATATATATATATATAGTACGTTTGTCACACTAATTGAGCATGCAGGTATCTCGTGAACCTCCTTTACCACCTCAGCTAGATGTTGACACTCCTAAATGCACACCTCTATTAGTACTTTGTGTTGTCTACCAGTGTTTTTTGCCACTTTTCTAATTTGGTTTACTTTATGTTTTTAGTAGTAATAATAATTATATTGTTATTTTTAAGTAATAATAATAACCATAATGATTTTAACATTAAAAAAATTTAAACGAAATGGAGAGCCCGAGTATTCCATATCAGTTAGATAACACTCAACTAGAAGTGATGTGAAGCCTCTATTAATTGGAGTGTTGAAACTCCATCAATAGCATTACACTAATAATAAATGAAAAATTAAACTTAATTACTTAAAGCTTAGTCTATAAGTAGTATAATGGTAAATGTTAGGTACAGGTTTTTTTCTCCTTTTTTTCTTTTTTTCTTGTAATTTTGTTTTTTTTTATAAATTCCATTGTGGTACCCACATGGTAGCAAAAACTTGGCCGCTTAACTTCAACTCAATTGAGCTTCGGAAGCCCAGGCCCAACTACATTGACCAACGAGGCAATGACCTGCCCAATGGAATCAAGATCCTTGAGAGAACAATGGGCCCAGCAACTTCAAATGCATTGGTGGTTGTTCTCAGCATATTTAGAGCACCCTTACAAAAGGCTTGATCAAAAGTTGATTGTTTCAATAATATTGATCTCTCTCTCTCTCTATATAATTAACAAGAAATACACTCATACACACTTTATACCCACAACCGGACTTGAACTCCTCCTCTCCTTTTCGAGGACGGAGAGGTAATACCATTGTGCTAAATGCTCTTTGGTAAATTTGGGAACTTCACAAGTTGATTTTTTCAGTAAGATTCAGCTCCATATATGATATATATAATTAGCAAGAAACATACTCACACACACTTTATACCCAAAACCGGACTCGAACCCCTCCACTCCTCTTTGAGGACGGAGTGGTTATACCATTGTGCTAAATGCCCTTTGGTAAATCATTTATTAACCTAAGTATAACCTATGTTTTCACCTGAGACTACAATATTGCCTTGCACAATACATACCAAAGCTTATTTCATTGTTTTTTAAACCCCCAATATGTTTTTTATTACACAAACTCTACATCTATTTATTTTATTCTTCTTCATAGAACAAAAAGAGAAGAAACAGAAGATAGAGTAGAGGTTAAAACCATATGGGTTTTTCTTAGCTACCCAATACACAGATATGTATGTATGTGTATGTGTGTGGGCATATGCACTATACATTGTTACCTATACAGGAATAATAGGACTTCTTGACATGAATAAAATGACAATGCATGACACAAATAGGGTTTTAATACATGCAAGTCTGTCCACCAAAAAATGATGCTGCCAATTGGCATTTATATTGTTGTAGCAACTCATCATGGTATGAAAATTTCAAACTAAAAACCTTGAGAGTGCAAGTATATAGTACAAAAATCTTGAAAATGGATGGGCAGTGTGCTTCGCTAAACGAATTAGTGTTTAACTAATTGGGCATTAATAGAGGATTTCTTACATAAAGCAGAATTTAGGGAAGCCTGAGTTAAGATAAAAATGAAGGATAAAGTAAATGCAGGGGGAAGATCGGCACAATAGGATTTTTTATTTTTTATTTTTGCAAGCAGATGGTCTGTCGAAGAACTTGACCAGCTAGGTTGAATTGTTTCCAGATAGCTTGTTTCTCAGATCCTTGAGAGCATCCACAACTTCTGAATCAAGATTGTGCTTCAACAATTTACCTTGAAAAGAAGATGATCTGAAAAAAGCATCAAAACTGATCAACCACACTTGGATGAAGAATTAAAAAAGAACAACAAATTTGGCGCGGTCCAATGCTCTAAATTACACTAAAATTGTTCACGCCCCGAAAAAAAACACACGCACAGAGACCTACCATTTTCTGAACTAGTTACATGCGGAACAAAAATGAGTCTTCTTGTGTTTGCCTACAGAGTATATACATAGCCAGTAAAATCCGGCATGACATGGGTCAAGGTAGAGCCTAAAAGTAAATGGTTAACCTGTTAAAATTCATATTAGGTTTTTATTAAGCTTTTGGATTCTCTTAAACCAAGATTTATTTCTAGTATAATTTTAGGATATATAATTTTTTTTTTATCAAGTAATTTTTCAAAATAATCAAGTTGGAAAATTGATTTCAGATCGGTCTTCAGTAAACAAAACAGGTTCAGTGACAGACCAAACCAGATCATAATTATTTGCTGGCCTCACATGAGCTAACCATCATGCAAGGACTTCAATTTTTTTTGGGTAAGGTTTAACTTGTATAAACTAGATCAAAAAAATATTCACAGATATACCAGGCATACCCTGGAGCTGAAGGCTAGGAGGAGCCAGAGAGGGACAAAAGAACCACAGAAGGGAGCCAAAGCCCAAAAAGGCTAGTAAATAAATATTTACTCAATTTCCCTTATAAAAGCCTTCAGCTGGTGCCAATTCACTCGTTTTCTGTTCTGACATGGTGCCTTTTCTTGAGATGTCAAAAGTTGCATATTCTTCAAGGCTTGACCTCCCAAATGTGATATGGTCTGAAGTCATCAAGCCTTATTGTCATCTTCACTAAAATTAAGTCATCAGCAAGAAATGACAGTTTTTTCTGAAGTTCTAATCCTACTAGCTTAAGGACATTTGAAAATTGACTAGTTAGAAAGTTTTGATTCTGCTACACTTGCAATCAAGGACAAAATAGCATCCTCTTGACTTGCAATTTAAATTTATGTAGTTTCAAAAAGCCTTCATTCATATTTTATCATAACATCTAATAACTAATACACACACGTGATTTCCATTACTGGATAAAGAAAATAAAATTTCAAAGGTTAGATATAGACTGAGAGGAGATGATGGAGGCAGATCTAACTTTTGACACTATCTTGCACAAGGCGGTTGTTATCAGACTTGAACTCGTGTTCTCACACTTGCTTTTAGAACACCGATTGCCTCAAAAACCTAAGCTATCAGAGAATGAGCCCAACCATATGTATCAAACTCCAACACCCTCCCTCAAGTGCAACCCCGCCTTGCACATTACATGGCAAACAAACCAAACAGAGACTAAAACGAAGTACAACTTGCACGACTTTAACCAAGATCTCCCAGAACCAAAGCTTTGATACCATTAAAATTAGCATCTGCTCCAAAAGTTTGAGTTATTAGAGAAGCATGTGCTGAGGCAAACAGACCAAATCAAAATCAAAACAAGTGCAGACTAGAACCCTAAACTAGTGAACAACTACACAGATAGAAACTTAAACTCAAGACCTCCCCGAACCGAAGATCTGATACCATGTGAGACTACCAATTATTCCAAAAGCTTAAGCTTTTAACCAATGGGTCCAACAATGTATATCATGATCTAACACTTGTCACCAAGTTTTTACTGCAAGACCAACACTAAGTAATGACTTTTAATCCTTGAGCTCAAATCAGCCCTCACATAATTCAATTAGTACAGGAATAAAAGGCTATGTGAAAATCATGCAAGATGGCATATCTACTCTCATTATACTAGATAAAATTAAAAGGCGAAAGAAACAAAAGGTCGTATCTAAAGGGAACACACCTTTGTTCTTGAAGCATTCTCTCAACTTCCTTTTGTGAAGCTTTAATCTGTATCATATTCAAAACATGAAAAAAGGGGGCAATATAAAACAGACTTTTAGTAACTTTGTTAATTAAGGCATAATCTTTACAACTTATTTTGATTCCTGACCACATAATAATCATTTGACATATCCTTGAGAAAAGTTTGTTAGCTGAACTGAAGATCAGGTCATGTCATCAATGCCCTTTTTTTAATTCCAACACACACACCCCCCCCCCCCCCCCCCCCCCCCCCCCCCCCGCGCGGACATGGCTTTATTCAGTTGAGATGAGTTCTATAAGCTGGAATTTCTAGTCCCAGCGACACGAAGAGCAAAAGAAAGTAACTGAGTTTAAGTTCCTTACCTCAGCAACCAATGCTTTGCAACTCCAAACAAAGGCTCCCTGGAACCATAATAGTTTAAAAACGACCATCAGGTCTTTACCAGAGTGATTCATACAAGTATGAAGAATAAATATCATATACTGTATGAACACCTTATACGGATACACATTTTTTTTTAGCTGTTCAATTCATAGATAACAACTAATCCTGCCTGGAAACCACAGATAGCAAGTCATCTCGCAACTACTACCACAACAAATCTTTGTCCAAAGAACATAACAGAACAAGTGACCACAAGACATTATTTTTGTAAGAGTCACAGTAAAATTAGCGGTGATTATGTTTAGGAGATCTGACACCAAAACTGATTAAAATGTGATTTCCAAACTGATGACAAATTTGGTTTTCCCTTTTTTATGAAATGGCTCAGACGGTTAAGACTTAACGGAGCAGGAATGGAATGTATGGCCGTGAGCAAAAGTACTTAGAATAGAATAAAATCATAGTATTTAGCTAACTCAAAGCAATTTCAATGAACATCAGCCTGGAGAAAAGCTGATGAATGAGCGCACTTGAGCACATGAATTTGACATTATATTCAACAAAGCAATGGCTTGAATGAAACACTGAGGCTGAATAAGCATTTAAGTAGCTTTGGCTTGGCAGAAAATGGTAACAATAAAAGGCTAACAAGACCGTTTGATTACAAATTTAGTGAGGAAAAGAAAAGAGAGTTTAAACAAAATCATTTTCCATTGCTTGGTCGCAATGAAATTCTAATTTTATTTGTTACTACACTTTTTCCTAATTCCCTACCATTATTGAGAAATTTTTCGTTAAACTTTATCCAAGCTAGAGAAGAACATGAAGAAAATCGTTTTCCCTATCCTTTCATTACTCTCACTAAATCCACAAAATAAACAGGGCTTGAGACTAAGCAACAAGGACATGAACAAAAGTTGCCAAATGACAACATACATCACCTTAAGACATAAGTTGATGGAAAATTATCTTGAGATATCAACCAAGATGGCATGCAACGGCTGATATAAATTATCTAGAGATATCAACCAACATAGCATGCACAACTGATATATGCATCATTGTGTCCATGAAGTAGTAATCACATGAAAAAAAGCAGATGAACAGGAAGAAAAGATAATGCCATCATATCCCTATAAAAACAAAATTACTGGAACTCCTTGAATTTCAATAATTTTTAACTCCCTGAAAATTCAATAATTTTTACACAGTAGCTCAAAGAAGAATCAATAATATAAAAATATCATTCCTGGTCTCCTCTCATTGCATCCCCATCCTGCAACAACTTTACAACCTTCAATAATGGGGTTCCACCATAGGTGGCAAAGACCAGAAGAACCCAAATTTGTCTTTATAAAACAAATGTGCATCAAAAAGTGAATATGCAACTATGGAAGAGACTACTGCACAAGGTCAGCGACCTACCTTAAAAATGTATTTCACAAGCCTAAAGCCATGTTGAGCAGAACAAACTGAATGAACCCATAGGGTAATTAGCCAGAGTCCTCCTCTAAGCATGCTTAGAAGAAAAAACACAGCAAATTTCCAAAAATTACATTTGCAGATTCAGTTAAAATAACATAGAAGCCTTCTGGATTCAATTCTTACTGTCCAACTTAAGTTTCACAGAAAACCTCCAGAAAAAAATGAAGCAATAACTTGAATTTAGAGTCGACCAACAAATCACACAGCAAACAACAAAAGCCAGAGATCACACGAGGAGTCCACTGCAAAACCAATCTTATGACAAACGCTCAGTCTCCAACCAAATCATAGTGGTTTGATCTGTTCAAAACAAAACACAAACTGCAATCTCACATGCTATACATCCTCCCCAAAACATACTCTATCCAAACCTAGGTGCATATAATGAAAAGTAGGAGAAGCCATAAAATTTCCAAGTTTCTTACATATGTAATATCCCTACACTTAGAAACACCTCACGGTGAAAATATTTGCAAGAAGTTACTCAAGAGCATCATACAGGTATAAAATGTCTGGGCAAAAAAACAAAATGCAATGAAATGCTATAGGCATATAGGACTAAGAAACCAAGTTACTAGTGATAACAACAAATTTTGGATACAATCACAGCACAGTAAATATTCATATGCATAACGCCATAATTTGTTCAAAGACATGTTATCCCAATGCATGTATGATGGCAAATCCAATGTAATTAGATTGTTGATTATCATGCAATTAGACATGGAAGCTTAATAGAATCATATACAAGAACAATCACAATACAAAGCACACAAGTCCTGATTTCCTATAAAGGTAACCCATCAAGGAAAACACATACTGCCCCATGTGCCGCGTGCTGCTGACAACGATCAGATGTTACAACCCAAACTTTTGGACATCCATCTTCCTTCAAAGCCGCAACCTGAGTGTAAAGAATGTTGTGTTATAAGGAATTATTTAAAAGAAACAAAATTTCTGGGTATCAAGCAAAGCAGTTCAGCAATAGGTTCTTAAAACAGAACGATGTGTGGCTACTTAACTGAGCAAACCATTCCAAAAGGTAAAAGTGCACATGAAATTCTTTCAAAAGACAAACACTGTAGGTGCCAAGAAAACTAATTCCAAGATAGATTCTGAAACTCTGCTATGCGTAGCTATTCAACTCAGCACCTTATTCTTAAAGCAAAAATAACAATAAACAATAACAATAACAGACACAGGACCGAAACTCAAGTCTCTGATGGAGAGTTGCACAAGGCCCGTGATTAAAACCTAGAGGTGGCTGAATAAGTGTTGTAGAACAGATTACCAAAATTTACTACTTCTCGAATTTAAAACTAAATTACCAGAATTTTAAATTCAGTTTATAGCAGAAAATAAAAATCACTCAATCCATAGCAATAATAAGCAGATAAAACAATATAGTAATTGGAAACCAAGATTTTACGTGGAAATTACAAGGAAAAAAAAACACTGGACGTATTCCAGACAAACAGAAATCCACTATGAGAAAGAGATTACAGCTAGGTTTACAGTTCCCAAACTCTAGAACCCCTAGTTACCTCCTGACACAAATGACGCCAAATTTTCCCCTGAGGGTCTCCAGGTCATCCATCGGCTCGTCAACAACCTTCGCTCCTCACGAAACTGCTTCTTCTTCACTGATTTCGGTCTCTGCCACTAGTCGTCCAGGCTCAATCTCAAATCAATGGATTGACTGCGGTGTTAATACTTCAGTCAAAGTATGCAGCAGCAGTTGTCAATACACAAATAATCCCGCTCACCAATACTACAAATGATGAATGCAAGAAATGACGCACTCTAAAATTCAAAATAATGCTCTCTTTATGAATACATGAGTGTATGTATATTCGGCCAAGGAGTAGTGTATAAATATGGACAAAGCAGAGGTATAGAGAGAATAGGTTGGTAGAGTTTAAAACCAACTTGAAAACTACTTTTTCAAAAAATCTCAATCAAATGATCAACGATACTCCAGTAGCCTCGATCAAACCCTCAATCGATCAACGTCTACTGCAATGTAAACTTCGAAAAAAATTCAAATTTCAAAGAACTCCTTTAATTCATATTTTGAAAGATATAGGGTATCAAATAAGATCAAAATCATGAAAACTTGAAAATCCTAATTATGCATGAATGAACCCTAATTTTTGGTGTATGCATCAATGTGTTGAATTACCTTTTTATCCTTATACACGAAGACAGCTGGATTACCATTGAATGTAGCTACAATTTCCTTCTTGGACCTTGAGTAGGAGGTAATCAATGAACTCTTAACTAACTTTTGAAAATTTCAAATCTAAACTAGAAACTAAAAGACCTAACAGATAGAAAAGGAAAAAGATACATCTTATAGCAAAAATTATATTACAAGTCACATACATGGCAAGTACATATTGATCCAAATTGAATTTTGACGCAATACCCAAAGAGATTATGGAACAAGCAATAATCTAGTTACTAGTAAGAAACTAGATTTTTGGGAAGGGGGATGAACCACATTCGAAGTGAAACAAAGCTTATATATGACAAAAAAAACAATCTATAGATATGACAGCTGGCACTCTCTCTCCCTCACCAGCTTCACACTAGCATCCTAGGCCCTTAAAATGTATATAATTCAAAGCTCCTAACCCCCATTTCCCTGATTCAGTCACTTAGCATCATATATTGAATGCAGATAAAATGTAAAAAAGAAGAAGTAAATATATATTTGAAAATGACACAGATTAGTCCTGATAAAATATGCAATTGCATATATAAGGTCCATTAAACGTCTCTCATTATATCTTACATTCTGTAAAATGCAGCTCAAATATAACAAACATCAGGGATTTGAAATGAATCTATATATAGTTTCATTTTTCCTGTGCCTTTTATGCCTTTTATGACGAAACGTGTTTGGCACATTCAATGGTTACTGGGAATCGAAAAGTTAAGTCAATGCCTGGTTTAGATATGCAGTAAATATAACTTATCAAAAAAAAAAAAAGATATGCAGTCATTATAGCCATTTTCACAGTGTACTACTTTCTAGAAACCATCCTGATGCTTGAGAAGTCTATTTCATAGATGCCGGAAGGTGGCAACCCATTGTGTGGTCTAGCTAAAGAATTGGAAGCTCCAAGAAGGAGAACGAGGTGAGACCCATGATTCCACATAGTTATCCTTCTTTTTCCCCAATTCTTAGACTTCATTTAATGTCTTGCATAAGATTATCTACACCAACCCCTTTCTTTAAACCAGAATTTTCTTTCAGAAATCTTTCTCAGCTTCTCCAAACTTTTTACAGTTCTCTAAGCCATACAGCCACAAAACCTTTGCCACTTACTTATTTAGCTGTTCATTTATACTATCAGCATGTAAATTAACTGTCATTCTTAAACCATCAAGTTCTTGAAATTTGTTTTAGTCATTGCCACAAAAACTTTTTGTAGTCCTACGTCGATGCAATTTAGACAATTTACTCTACAGATCAGGCAGATGCTTTCAACATTTTCAGGCATGGGGATAAAAAAACATGGTGACACCAATATTAATATGTATTAAATTAGATGAATAAGCTTATGTAAAACATCTAGTATGCATGAGGCTTTAGGAAATTGCAAGAAACATTTCACCATAAATACAGATAATTACAAATTAGTGGTGAAAGGGAACATCTCCATGACTACATAGAGATGATATTTGTGTAAACTTCACGTCTTTCCTCACCTCCTTCTCAATCCATGCATCAGCACATGTTTCACTCGAGAATACTATATCAACACTGCAACAGAAAAGAAATCTTATCATCACAAAATCTTAATTAAATTGATAAAAAAAAAGGAAATTTCACTAAATAACAAATGAACGGAAAGCAATACCAACAATAATGATGAAAAAAGGTTCAAAGAAAGACTTAAGTCACTTGACATTAAAGATTGCCTTCGGGAACAATAAAGTAATGACTACAATTATATTATGTTCTCCATCTTGTAATAAAACTTCTTTACAAAATAAAATGCATTATACTAAAACTAGCAGAAATTCATGTTAGCTAACTGCAAAGTCAACAATATAAAGAACCGTGTGTGTCAAACATGTACATAGGATTAATTCTTTTTCCATACGATTCCATCATCTCAAAGTAGAAACATCTTGGAAATAAAATGAGAAGTGTGTTACGATCTGCAAAAACTTGGAAACCTAAGAACATGGTATCTCTATAGATGCAAAAAGAAGCTATTACGTGATAAATGAAGCTTACAACAAAAATAGCGCGCACACTGAAATTGAGAATTGAAGGAAATCCATTCATGTTAACTGAAAAACCATATACAATCATCACAGTTTTGCAAATGGAACTATCCAAAGAATAGAATATCACAAATACAAGTGTAAAATCTATTACCAACATGAATCCCTAGTTAAGCAATTAATAACATAACTTCCAAGTCTCACGGTCACACAATATATATTATATCTACAGATCTACAACATACATATCATAGCCAAGCATATGTATTAATTCCAAATTGCAAGAGAGGGAGATACTTTCAGTTAAGTTGCAAAAATTGAGACAATGTAAGGTTAAGGAAGGGAGATTGGACATCAATCAATGTCAGATCAATTAAAGGTCCAGGGTACATGACATGTATGAGGGGAATGACTCTCTCAGTTCCATCCCCCCAATACATACACATATACAGACATAGTTATGTGGCACGTGTGGGTTGATGAGAAGTATAGACGGAGAGAATAGGATCTTTATAATTCTAAACCAATAATTAAAATTCAGCAGCTCTGTACACGAGCATCTTCCATGACACAATAACAAAGAATGACTTGGATATACATCCAATAGACAAACTAAACAACCAAACCAGGACTTAGAAATGAGTTAATAATAGTTTAGGTTTACAGAATAATACCCCGAAAATATTTCCTTGTGAGTAGGGAGCCCAGACATCATGGCATCAAATACAACCACCACTTTCACCTCTGTAAAATTTTGAAAATAAGATGGTAAGGTAATTACATCAACATATGAAAAGCAAATGAAGAAGCAAACCATTGCATTTTAGATCACTAAACAAGAGAGAACTTTGGAAAATTATAATAGTTTATTGGCAGAAAACAAATTGAACGGGTTATAATAATTAGTATCGAGACACTGGGAAAAGATACATATGCCATTCAAACCATGAGAAATGAAATTTTGATTTAACCTAACAAGCTCAGAGACTCCTAAGAGGGTGTTGTATCTGCGTCAAATACCAACATTTCGTGGATACTCCCACACAGGGACGGACCCAGGAAATTGTGTTTGGGGGGGGGGGGGGGGGGGGGGGGGGGGGGGGGTTGCAATATTCATAGGTATATAGTTCGAAAAAGGAAAAATCACTAATATATAATACTAAAAAAAAATCAGTGGGGGCATTTGCCCCCACTACCTATATACGTCTGAAACCTTATGGACATGCCCAAAATACAAAAATAAATGTCATTGTTTCAGTTACTTGGTTGACACATCCAAGATAGTTCCCAAAACAAGCCTTAACCCAAGCACATCCTAAAAAGGGTCATGTTAGACAATCTTGGGAACAAGATGAACACACACCCAAAGTGTCTAAAATTTCCTTTTTAAGAATTTAACGTTATGCACAGGGCCAACGCAAATCAACAATGCAACAGACTTTTTTATTATAGGCCTAGATCTAATTGTAATAACCAAAATATAGTAAGAGACTGGTATAAAATGCTCTACAGACGCTCTACAACCATCAAATTATGTTCTCCTTCTTCTTCTCTCTAACCTTAGAAACATATTCTCACAAGCTCTAATTGATCCTTTTGTTATTATATCTAAAGCTATATTTTCACCAACGGGTCAGCGGTATCAGCCTCTTACTTCCCAAAGGGAGGTCAGGGGTTCAAGTCTCAGAAGAGACGTGTGTGTGAGTACCAACTAGGAAAAAAAAAGCTATATTTTCAATAAGAATGTGAATTAGATTCTGTTTTCATGAGCATTAGATGACTTGTTCAGCCAACCCCTTGGGTCCTTTCCTAAATGAACCAACAACATGTAAGAGCCTTTTTTTTTTTTTTTTTTTTCTTTTTCTTTCTTTTCCACCTCTCCTAGCTCCATCAATCTTCCATGCACGTAAATGGACCATTTTATAAAACTTCTTTGACTTGCCATTTGTGGCTAATTGCAAATTCTCTCGAAGATGCGCATTTCTAATGCTTTTCCTTGATGCTCATCCACACTAACATGCTTGCATTGCTATGTTGGTAAGGAGACGATGTTTTGGTCAGTGCAGAAACTTGAAGATGAATCAGAGAGTGATGAAAATGTCTATGACTTTTCGGCGTGTTGAACACTTTCCTTAAAGTGCTATTTGCACCCATTCAGAAGAGATTGCTATCAGATTCCTGATGAAACACTTCCAAGATACAACAACAAAATCACTAAAATTCTGCAGTTAGCAATACTGAAAGCATTCCCTACGCACTCCCTGGAACTGTTTTCACTTTAGATTGACAAAGAATTGAGAAAATGTGAGAATTCAAATAATGCAGAATCTTGAGCAAGTAATCCTATTTATAGAGTACAAAAGGTTGACACTTTATCTCAAAACTGTGACTATTGGTCCCGAAAGTCATCATTTGAATAATTATATCCATTCAGATTATTTAAATTTAATTTCTCAACAGTCATTTATTTAAATAATTGTGACTGTTGGGAATCCTAACAGTTTTTAGAGTTAATCTGTAATGGAAGCTCCAAGCCCATGTATCTCACATCACATATATTAAAAAGGGTATACTACCTCAATCACCGTGACACAAACCATGTGCCAAGTGCCACCACAATGCACCACTATGGTGCTACACAGCCCACTACCCATGCCACACGCGCATCAGTGTGTGCAGCACCAGAAAGCTAGCTAAAATTTTCTCTTTTCCACCCTTTTCGATCTACAAATTTAGTAAATTTGTCCCACTCTTTATTAACTTTAGGAAATTCCTTTAAACTTTCCACGTGGGACTTAATTTTGCAAGGCAACTTGTCTCCCTATATTATAATCTACTCGACAAAACAAAACGCCAAGACAGAAAAATCATACAAGGAAATTTTATAAAAGAAAGCATACAGAAAAGAAATTTATGAAAGCAGTCATTAAAACTCTCAAAAACATACACAAGACTACTAAGTAACAAGATGTCAGTGGACTTGACAGAATGCAAGTCAAATAAGCTGCTTGCTTCAACTTGGTTGTTTTCCCTGCCTACCCATGTTTGCTGGATGTTTTGCGCATCCCAAGCATGGGTGCATCTGGTTTATCTTTGACTGAGGTCCATCACACCATTCTAAACTGACATATAATAAAGTCTCCTCCTATAAGTGAGTGAAAGAAGCTAAGCACAAACCTCTCAGCAGACTGAATGTTACCAATTCATTAACAAGCTTTTGGCGAGCAATGTCAAGTCTTCCATTCATAAAATGTTTCTTCAGCTTCGGCCAATAGCCACATACATTATAACCATCAACAAGCAAGACAGGACTGGCGGTCTCTATGCCCTGGTTTGTACTGTGAAACAAATTCAGCTTACAAAATGAAATACATTTCCAAACAGCTTCAAATTAGAGTATTGAAATAACGAACTCAATCAAGACAAAAACCTGGAAGAATATTACTAGTAAAGGGTCAGAGTAGGATCGCGATAGAGCTCTGTATCTTCTGGAAGGTCTTCCTTCTCCGCCTTCTTTCTGCGGTAACTAGTAGCTGGTTTAGGTGTGCTAGATTTTCTCTCTTGGAACTCCTACAAGATTTTGCTTCTTTTAACAGTAAGGAATGAAAAATAGTTATTCCATTGCTGTCTTTACGGATCTCACTTAAGGACCTACCTTCCATAATTTTAAAAACTGCAAATTTTGCTTGACATTGGATGTAATCCTTGGAGGAGCTTCCTCGGAACCCTTTCAGTAGAAAGCTTGTTACAGGCTAAACAGCTAAGAATGGAAAAAAGCTATAGTAATTTTAATGGTCAGTAATCAGCATAATACTTAGTTGAAAGACTGGAAGGGTTGTTATATCATAAGAAGCACCAACCGGTAGGTTAGGATATTGGATGTTACATCACAAACATAATCCATTACTTGGACACTTACAAGAAAGGTGACCATGAAGCCAATTTTGGATTTCCCATAACAATTTATGTTGCATTTGGGAGCTCCAAATGGGCACTATTGGAATTGGAGAAAATTTGGTTCAATTGATTTTTCTCCAATTCCAAACATAGTATAAAAACGAAAAAAGAAGAATTAGTTTTGTATACAATCCTTGATCATGATTTAATTGTCTTTAATTAATGCTTCTTGGTGATATATGATCTAAGCATAAACATGATCCCCAAAATCAATTGATACCAATTAATCTGATGAAGAAACACACTACACTCTTAACGTTTCAACAAACACCTTCAAAAAAACATTCTGTCAATCAAGATTATTGCAATATTATCAGTTCATCTATCTTAAATTTCTAAATAAGGATAAATCAAATTGATGATTAAGAACATATACAGAGTCATTCAAATGTAATGCACAAACATATATAGGTATATACAGATAAATAGAGAGACAGAAAGAGAAGGACCTTATCAGAAGATGATTGGGGCCTTTTGCTCTTGCCGGCCACAATCTTACAAGAAGAAGAGCAAGAACCACAACCTCTAGCATATACCAATGCAAGGAATGATGATGATGAAATTGAGAAGGCTTTCATGGAACTACTACAACAACTACTACTACTTTACTCTTCTTCTTGTTCATGAATTCCTTATAACTGCAAAAACCCATCTATCTTTTCTCATGATTGATTATTCTAGTGATATTGATTTAGTTCAATCCTTCCATATTACAAACCCATTTCAGTTCAAGCTCATATATAGTAGGATTTGAAAATTCATTACTCAAAAACAATCACACCCATATCTCAACTATGATTTTTTTTTTTAGCTGTAAATAGGTAATGGATAGAGAAGAGACTACACCTCCATACATAGAGCTGTCGTGGCGTGTGCCGGGCCAACCCTTTCGTTTCCAGATGTTCTTGGCGGACCGGGCGGGCAGGCATGCCTTCTAAAACTATTGCAGCCACGGGCACCCACCTTGAGTGGTCGGGCATGCTAATCAATTGAATTACGGAGTATATCATTATTGTGTTGAAAACCGTTATATTGATTTTTATTGAATCTTTGATGCACTCAGTATTTATTTCGGTCCAAAAGTAGTGGACTTGAATTAGAGTACACTGAATAATTTTCGGACATTTTTTTTTTTTTTATTTAATTAAAATGATGAGCCTCTCTACTCATGTCAAATTGTCTAATTTTTAAATTATTATTTTTTTTTGCCACCAAACGAAAAATATGAGGAGAAATGATACAATTAAAACTGAGAACTTGGCCAAACACTCCACTCGAAACCAAAACATTCAGCTGTAATATTTTTTTTGTTCAACAAGTGAATTACAACATTACCTAAGTCAAGAAAGAACTATTGTATAAATTAAGAAAAGAGCATACACCGTGAAATAAGCCTCAACATTGGTTGGAGGCGCATAACAAGCTGACTATTATAGTCATATTTTACTACTTTTTAATTTTGCATATTGGTGGTTGAGTGATCCCGTTTTATCAAAAAAAAAAAATTAAAAATTAAAAAATAAGATATTATTAAAAAAAATAGGACAAAATTTGTGCCAATAATACCAACTGGCTTCCGGTTAAGGACCATGTTCCCGTAAATTTGACCCATTGTGAGAAAAACAAGTGGACTTTTTTTTATTATTTTATTTTATATACTTTAATCGGATTTACAGTGAGTTTAATATAGGACAAATTTGTGCCACTAAAATAAAAGTCAATATTTTGATATGAAAGGAATTATATTTTCAAATATTAGTTATGAATTTTATGGTAAAGAATTTGAAGAAAATTGAAGGTGCATTTTAACGATTCATAGCATCTCTGATTCTACTTTGCAATTTAACAGTCTCTATTATCACATTCAGTTGTTTAAAAGGAGGAAAGGAATTTAATCATATGCCACTCACATATCATGCTGTATTTTTCCTTCTTTATTACTATTACTTTTTGTTATTGTAGTATTCCAAAAAGCTAGCTTTAAACTATAAGTTATACGTATGTAGATTGGAAGTAAGAGCGAGAGCCAGAATAAGAATATACCAAAGTATAAATGTATCACTTATTTTAAAAAGTTATGCAATTTAGATTCAAACTATATATATTTATATATATTAGGTTTTAACACAAAATATATGAATTTTTTTCTTTTAGAATATTATGCGCTAATTTTATTGATATTTTAGCACTCTAATTTATTCATAAATTTTTATTTGTAATTTTTATATGTTGGGTGTGTGAATATAAGAAATTAATACATGATGGCCCAATTAACATGTGAGACATCAATAAATGCTTTAGAGATGGGTAAATTTTATACAATTTTTTTTTTTGTCATTTGTTACATGAGAGTTGGACTGAAATTCAATTCTTATTGTTGCGGAAATAAAAAAAAAAAAATTTAAAATAATAATAATAATTTGTTATATGGATAAACAGATAAGAACAGTTAATTGGATAAACAGATAAAAGAATGTTTTATATATATCTAATAATTCTATTTAACCCGAAATCCTCAATATCCTCCGTGATATAAACAACTACCGATTGATCAATCGATAGATATATATATATATATCTACTGATCAATCAAATACTGTACTATTAACACTAACTACTAGTAGTTACAGCAAAACAATGGCAGATCAGAAGAAGAACAAAGAGCCAGTGTGCGTAACAGGAGCGAATGGCTTCATCGGCTCGTGGGTGGTCCAGACCCTCCTGGAGCAGGGTTACACCACCATCCACGTCTCCGTCTTCCCGGGCTCGGACGCCTCCCACTTCTTCGCCCTCCCCGGCGCTTCCGCCGCCGGCGTTAAACTGGTGGTTCACGAGGCCGACATTCTCGACGCCAAGGCGGTGGCCAGGGCCGTGGAAGACTGCGCCGGCGGCGGCGTGTTCCACGTGGCGTCACCGTGCACCCTCGAGGACCCGGTGGATCCGCAGGCCGAACTGATTGCCCCCGCCGTTCAGGGCACCCTCAACGTCCTCGCCGCTGCCAAGACGGTCGGCGTGAGGCGCGTGGTGGTCACTTCGTCTATCTCTGCTCTGGTGCCGAACCCTAGTTGGCCACGCGACACAGTCTTCAACGAGTCGTCATGGACCGACCTTGATTACTGCAAATCTCGACAGGTATATATATATATATGTGTGTGTGTTATATATATAATTTTATTGTGTTGTGAATTGTGATTTGATCAGCTTTAACTGTTGATTTGAGATTGCACATTTGTATTTGATTTGCTGTACAGTGTGACACTGGTTCAAACTATTTTTGATCATTAGTAGTAGTAAAATTTGATTTTTATTTTGATTTTGATTTTTTATAATTATGTTCTTATATATATACATGTATATTTTGGCGTGTTCTCTTTAATTAAGTTGATCAATTACATTTTTAGAACCTTAAGAGCTTCTAGCATTCTACATGTTTCTCCAATTTTATTTTTGATTTATTTGGGTTTTATACTTGCATGAACTTCTTCTTTTCTTTTTTTTTTTTTCTTTTTTTTTTTGTAGTACAATGAAATCTTTGTATCCGTGTCGCACAATTACAAGACAAGTTGGATTTGCTTTGCAGATTTAGTGGGGTAAAATAAAAGACAATGTTATTTCTGTTTATTTGGTTATTGTGCAAAATAAGTAGGAACAAGAACATGTAGAAAACAAGAAAGTAATGCTGTTTAATTTTCCAATTTTTAATTTTTTTATAATCATTGTTAGGTGCATTGGTAAAAAAGGCAGATAATTTTTTTCTTAATTTAAAAAATAAATAAATAAATAAGCTGAGAATTTTAAGTGTTAGAGAAGCTATTTTGTTCAGACAGTGCCAAAAGTTGTGCTTGGGACCAACAAGGTGTGTTCTTTTTTACATTCAAATCTTTTTTCTTTTACCTTGTTTCACTTTTGAGAAACTTATTTAATTGATATATATATACATTCAAGGACCAACGATCTCATTAGTAAGAAAAGTGATGTGTTCCACATTGAGGTTGAGGGTATTGGTAATCGCAGAAAAAAAAAAAAAAAAAGAGATAGTAAGAAGAGAGCAGTTTGTACAACAGCCAGTAGACATTTGGAATCAAGCTCATAATGGTATTTGGAATGCCTAAATGTTCAGTAAGATGTAAAGTGACAGACTACCAGTTTGGTTTGGGCAAGTGCAAGTCATCTTATCCTGAATAAGAATATCGTGCTTGATATAATCATTAGTTGGTGTTTTCATGTTTTCATTTTTATAAAACTAGATCTTGATTTTGCATACTTTTTTTGCAGCTATAGACAAATATTTTGTGTAAATATACTTTTTTTATTGCCTTAATTGAACGATAATATCTTCTGTATCCGTAGACTACACGTCATAAATCAAGCACAGTTAGCACAGTTTGTTTTAATCAGCCCCAACTTGCATGATCTTATTTTGGCAAACAATTACTCGAGTATATGTCAATTATAGTAATAATATTTGATATTAATGAAAAAAACATTGATGATCCTATAATCCAACTGCCTTCTGATATTGACAGTTGTTGAACCAATTTGAAATCAAGTGTAGTATTTGTTAAACAGTGCTTCACAATTTGAATATTTGAACGTGGCAGAAATGGTACCCGGTGTCAAAGACACTAGCGGAAAAAGCCACTTGGGACTTTGTAGAGAAGCACGGATTGGATGTTGTGACGATCCATCCAGCCACATGTCTTGGTCCGCTTTTGCAGCCTAGTTTGAATGCGAGCTGTGCTGTGCTAAAACAGCTGCTCCAGGGATCGCAAGATACACAGGAATATCACTGGCTCGGGGCTGTGCATGTCAAAGATGTGGCAAAGGCACAAGTGTTGCTATTCGAGACTCCTGCTGCTTCTGGTAGACATCTTTGCACCAATGGTATCTATCAGTTTGGTGATTTTGCTGAGAAAGTCTCCAAACTCTTCCCTGAATTTCCCGTTCACAGGTATGTGTTTGTTTGTTTTTAAGTACTTTCATTCCTATACAGACTGATGTGTTTCTTGTGGCTTGTGTTTCAACTTTCACTATTTTATAAAAAGAATATAGACCTTTGCTGTAAATGATGCCATTGATAACAAATTATCAATAGTCTGCGTGTGAGCGTTTGTTTTTACAAGAGTGTCTTACCCATCTTTCTATTTTTTTGGGACTGTTAAATACAGAGTGCTGTAGATTTTATGACTCGGCTGGGTAAGAGTTGTATTATTATATTGGAAAGGGAAGACTTATTTCAAATTTAACTTCCCAAATGTTGATTTAGATCATAGGACTTGATATCACCCATCAATTGCTTCATTATTTTTCAAAGGAGAAGAAGAAGAAAAAGGGACTGTAATATACAAGTGGGATCCACAATGGCTGGAGTCTCGTGCACCGGGCTTGCTCATATATATATATAGACGGATATATTTATATTCATAGATATAAGAATGGGAGGTTTGTGCTTTTCTTTTGTTATTCTGCTTTTAGAAGCAAGTCCTAGATTGGTTTCAATGATAATGCTTACCAGCTTTGTTGTTGAAATTCGGTAAAATAGGTTGATTTTCAGCTCATGTTATGAGCATTAAGTAGTAATTACAGTATGATTGGCCATCTTGAACTTTTGTTCAATCCTTAACCTTTCATGTATTCGTTCATTTTCAAACTTCAACAATTGTCCTCCTCTTCTTTTATCTAAATCTTCTTTCTGCTTTCAAATAATGCTCTCTAAACTCCAACGAAATACAGGTTTACAGGGGAAACACAACCAGGTTTGAAGGCGTGCAAAGATGCTGCAAAGAAGTTGATCGATCTGGGATTAGTCTTTACACCGGTTGAAGATGCTGTTCGGGATACAGTGCAGAGCCTCAGAGCAAAAGGCTTCTTGGAACAAGGGAACTGACCGTCTTAAATTGTTTTGAAGTTAAGAGTTCCCACAATATATATATATATATATATATAGTTAATTTAGAAAAGAAATGACCGCAATAAAATTACAAGGCCATTATCCAGTGTTTATCATTGAACCAAGCTATATCTCTTATGAGTATAATAAATTATTTCTTGGTGGTTTGGTCAGTTCATTTTCACTTAATTTGTGGTTCCCAAAATAGCTTGAAGGTTTGTGTTGAATATCCGTTTTTCTCATTGGAGGAAGAAAGTTTTCTATTTTATCATACCATTGTGGTACTTCTTTTTACTTCTGATTCTTAGTGAATTGTTAATGGAAATCTATTATGTCTTTTAAGAATTCTTTATTGGATTTCTCTCTCTATATGTGTGTGTGAGTGACGACTGGATTTGCATTTTTTGTGCAAACTCTCCTCCCCATAGAAGAAGAAGAAGACACCATTATCACAACAAAACAATTGAACATTGTTGGAAACCACATCCACAAGCAAAAAAGCAGAATTCCAAACCGTCACCTGAATCTACTGGCATAGCCAGTTCTACTTCCACTTAACATCAGAAGCATTACAGAGGACTTTCAACAGAACAAACATCTACTTCCACTTAACATCAGAAGCATTACAGAGGACTTTCAACAGAACAAACAAATTGTGCAGTTTTTGGTTTATCAAGCTTTGGAATATTAAATTTTACAGAAAATATATATATCCCCTACTTAATATAGAGTTATGCAGCAATAAGGGTAAGGGATTTATCCTCCCAAAATCTCTATGGAATTATAAAAAATCTTTGGTTACCAGACAGTTACCATTCCTGTAATAAAGAAACGATATCATCTTGGATCAGGGAGAATCTCGCTTCAACAACTACTTAGGGAGAATCTCGCTTCAACAACTATTTGGTCTACCTAAAAAGGTACGCCATAAATTTTATACGTAATCGATATTAGATCGTCAAGTACTAACTTGACCGTCGGAGTGCACCCGGCTGGCACCACGCCGGTCATCACTTCTCTTGTTTTGCAGAAATTGCCACCGACTCCGGAGCGTGTAGATTTTTGGCATCAATAGTTGGCGCTGTCTGTGGGAAACGTGTGTTAGTCCCGTAAAGAAATTATGATCCAAAAATTCCTTATATTTCCCCCAAAGAAGTTACGATAAAAAATTTCCTAATATTTTTAGTGATATTTGTGTTTATTGGCTAACTCGTTCTGTTCATTATTGGTCTAAAAAAATAAATCCATTCTCAAAAGGCTCAAGTACAGTGCCAACAGGTCTCTATCACCATCACCATCTAAAACCAACTATATGGAGGCGGAGGAAGCTCTATCTCAAGGGCTTGAAGCATTGAATCAGTCACCACTGTTTCAGATAACGCATTAGGCTATCCTCCTAACATGGGCAGCAGGCTTTTACGTCAAGCCAACTAGTCCGTACCTCGAAAGAATTCATTCTATTTATCACACAAAAAGACGTCAGTGAGCCCGCTCTTGTGCACAAGACAACAGCACAAGCATATCAATATAAGTGAATAATAGAGGATGACGCTTATATGATCCATTGCTTTTCATCTTCTTGTTGACAATTGGGACCCGCCCTTGATTTTTTCTTAGTAGTTCCTACTTGACACATTATTATGGTTACATGATACTTACTGAATTCCTGAAGAAGCAGTGGACGAAATCTCTTTCCAATTGATGGTATCGGTAGTTGCAGACAAGCAATCCAATCAAAGAGAGTACCCCATCTCTCCCAGTCGACATCAATAGTAGCAGTTTTTCCATTTGATGTTTTCCTTTTCAAACACAACGTGGTGATGGGTCTTTAATCAGATAAGTTTTCCAACTTAATTTTTACAGTTAAATCTTTATTAAAAATTATATATATATATATATATATATATATATATATATCAATATTATATATGTATATATATTTTCACACATGATGCAATCATGATACATAAATCTTTATGATTCTCTTTGGTATAATCTATCAAGACCAAACACAGAGTAAGATTAGATTTTTTGGTTTGCACTATCATCAAAAAAAAAAAAAAATCATAGATTTAACGTTGGTATCCAAAAAATCATAGATTGGATTTTTATTAATTTCTTAATTAATCCATCACAAAAAAAAAAAAAAAAGGTGAGTACTGTTCACATGAATAGTACCCGTGGGAATAGTAAAATAATCATTTTATATCTAAATTTTCTTAAATGCAAATTCTTTGTTTGGTGTCATATGAGTGGGTACAAACCACATCATAATGACTTTGTTATTGCAATTTTATTTTAAATTCTCTAACTCATACTTTGTTTGAGTGAGTAGTTATAAAATAAAATAAAAAATAAAAAAAAAGAGCATGATTACACTCTCTTATTTTAGAGAACAATCGCTAGCTCTATAGATGATTTTGGTCCTATGATGCTCAATGATAAGTTTTTACCTTTGCCTTAGTTGTATCAATTCTGATATATATATATATTATCCTTTCAAACTGTACATCTGTTCCTCTATTTTTGCTTTGCTAACTTTGCAAATAGAAAGAGAATATTAGTGTTCCTTGCGCGTGAGAGGCAAACTTGAGAATGTGGGCAAAAAATTAACCTCTCTTATTAAAGATATGAGCTCACGAAGCTCTGGAAAATCAGTCTTCCTTATCAAATAGATGAGCTCACGCAACTACAGAAAATTAGTCTCTCTTATTAAAAAGATGAGGTGACGAAAATCACGACGATGAACCTTCCATATAAAAAGGATAGCTTCATGAAGTTTGGAGAACCTACTCCCTTTTTAAAGGGCAAGTTGAACGTATTATAAGGGATTGATATAAAAGTGCCCCATACTATAAGGGACCGAGCTGAATGAAGCTCGTAATTGTTGTCCTCCGTATTAAAAGGGGTCAAAATCAACTCGTAAAATATACTTCCCTTTTTAAAGGGCGAGCTGAGTGAAGCTCGTAAAATATATTTTCCTTTTTAAGGGGCGAGCTAAGTAAAGCTCGTAAATATACTTCCCTTTTTAAAAGGTAAGCTCATTCAGCTTAAAAAAGCCTACTCCCTCAGCTCATGAAGTTCAGGTAAATCTACTTCCTTAGTAAAGGAGTAAGAGAGGTCAACCAAAAAGAGGTCGCCCAACAAGGGTTAACCTAAAAAGAGAATGATTTCTGCCAAAGGGATGTCGGTCAAAAAACACTTTCACATTCTCGATGCTTGACAAGCAAGCACAAGAATGGGGGGAAACTGATGAGGATAAAAATAATAGGCAACTCAAAGTCAAAATAAGATAAGGGTAAGGGATTTATCTTCCCAAAATCTCTATGGAATTATAAAAAATCTTTGGTTACCACGTGTAACGACAGTTACCATTCCTGTAATAAGGAGACGATATTATCTTGGATCAGGGAGAATCTCGCTTCAACAACTACTACCATCAATGCTTCTATAAAAGAAATGATCAGTCAACCTAAAAAGGTACGCCATAAATTTTATACGTAATCCTTATCGGATATTAGATCGTCAAGTACTAACTTGACCGTCGGAGTGCACTCGGCCGGCACCACGCCGGTCATCACTTCTCTTGTTTTGCAGGAATCGCCACCGACTCAGGAGCGTGTAGATTTTTGGCATCAACAATTATGATTTTCTTCTTCTGTTTATCCACTTTTTTACAATCGATTGTTCTCACTTCATTTTTACATATTCATGAATTAGCCTCTGAGCGAAATTAGGCTGAGAGTTTGCTTCAATCACAGTTCTGGTTCTTCTCCATCTCTTACAAATATCACTCAAATGCAGTCGGAGAGGACCAGCCAAGTGCTACCCAATTCAACATTCTTAATGAGAAAAGAGGCTCTCATTACTGTAAGGATGGCCGGACTCCTTGCTTGCCACTTCATAGCTTACTGAAGTGGATGCCAAATCAGCGTTAGGGTTCAAACCAGCCAACACCATTATGGTCTCTATGTCTTTTACCACCTCACTCATTGTAGGCCTGTCAGCTCTGGATTCTTCAACGCACCTCATTGCCAGTTCTATGAACTTCTCTACACCTTTCAGTGCGATTCCCAAACCAAAGTTCGGGTCAATAATCCCTTGAAGGTTATATAGTTCTTTAGTCTTGTCCATAGTTTGCCGTATCTCTCTTACAATGTATACTCCTTTCTCAATCGGCTTCCTTGCAGTTACCAGCTCCAGAATTAGCACTCCAAAGCTATATACATCGTTCTTCTTAGTCAACTGATGTGTCGTGTAATATTTAGGATCTATATAGCCCTGCACCAGGAAATGAAATCCACCTTTCAGTCTAAAATACTAGAGAAATATTGTAAAATTTTTAGTGAACTCAAGCATTTAATCCTCACGACACCATTATGATTTCTTGATGTTCTTTTACCAACTATTGAATGTTAATCGCATTATCTGTGCTTTATAGCAATTAATGCTGTCTTCATCAAGACGAGTCCAACTGTCCAAAGAATACAGAAAATGGTTCAGGAAGTGCTACCATACCTTCCGTGTGTGTGACTATTGAAGCAAGTGCATAACTTCTAAGCAATTACTCAATAAGAGTATTTTTAAATAACTTCAATTCTTTTACGACAAATACAGAGTTTGTAAATAATCTTATTCAGCCTCAAACACTAAGCAGTGGGAAATTTTCCATATCCCGGATCTGGTTCTTAGTTTACCTGATGCAGCTACGAATATAACCAGTTAATGACACTTATAGTTCCAAAAAATATTTTTACAATTGAACTTTGTGAACATGTTAAATTTGAAATTTCAGGAATAACCTTTAGAAACCGAAGTCATTTTCACTTTATTTATTTATAGCAAATTAGAGTTTTTCTTGCAAAAATAGGGTTTCGAGGATTTTGTACTAACCATCGTCCCTTTGACTTGAGTACTTATATGACTCCCATCAGCATCATTCATAACCTTGGAGAGACCAAAATCAGTAACTTTTGCATTTAATTGTGAATCCAGTAGAATGTTGTTTGATTTGATGTCCCTACGTATTATGGGAGGGTTGACAAGCTCATGCAGATATGCCAAACCTCTGGCTGCACCAAGAGCTATTCGAAGTCTCCTCATCCAATCCAATTTGATCCCCAACTTTCCTGCACAGCCGGGGTGTTAAAATCGAAAAGACGACTTAAAAAATACGAAAACATGAAAATATCAAACACTTTATTTGTCAGTCTTGTGAAAATGTCTTTAATTTTATCAATGCTTTCCAAGGTCCAAATATACCCCTATAACATGGTGTTATTAGAGAGGTGGGGTTTTTGAATCAGGCTTAAGTTTATTTTGCTGCTAAAAAAAAATAGAGGTAA